AGAGAGAGAGAGGTGGAGACACTCCAACAGAAGACAGAAGACGCAGAGAGGGATCCGCTGGTCTCTCTGCCCCATGGAAGGTCCAGAGGCTGATTTCACCCCATTTGGAGGTAAGGGGGTTGCTCTAGAAAAGCAAAGTAGCGTTGGAAGGGAGGGACAGTGACAGAGCCTCCGGCATACGACCAAAACCGAGCCGAAAAATTTCTGTCGCTAAGCAAGACGATCGTGAGTTTTGCCCCGTTTCGCGACTTTCCTTGCCACGGTTGTTACGTGGATCCCTGCACTTGTTAAGTTAGTAACACGGTTGTTAAATGAGTCTAGTCCCCCTGTTGACTTTTGCCGGTCAGAAGGACGCGGCAAAGTGACCTCCGAGACGCTGCGACCGTCATAAATAGGAACCAAGCGTCTCAGTTTGGGTCACGTGACTCTGGAGAGGCTACCGCGGTCGTAAGTGTGAGAAATGGTCCTCGGTCAGGGCTGTCGTAACTTTGAACGATCACTAAATGACTGATTGTAAGTAATAATAATAATAATAATAATAATAATAATAATAATAATAATAATAATAATAATAATAAAGTTGGAAGGGACCTTGCAGGTCATCTGGTCCAACCCCCTGCTCAGACAGGGGCCAACTATGCAGAACAACCGAGGCCTTCACTCTGCCATCAAGGCTATAAGAGAACAATAGAGGGGACCTTAGAGGTCATCTAGTCCAACCCCCTGCTCAGGCATGAGACTCTACACCGTTCCAGACAAACGGCTGTCCAAGTCTTTTCTTCAAAACCTCCAGGGATGGACGGAGTTGGTTCATTTTTCATCCTTTTCCATTAAAGTCACTAAGCTGCTCTTTTGGATCAATCTAGAAGGAGCTGGTTGGTTTTTTAAACCAGTCAGAATGAGGCTCTAATTCTGACCTGCTTCTAAAGGGAATGACGTGGCTAACATAACCAGTGGAACAGCTGGCCACCAGAAGTCGTGGGTGCTCCGTCACTGGAGGTTTTTAAGAAGAGGCTAGACCATCACTTGTCTGAGATGGTATAGGTTCTCCTGCTTGAGTGGGGGGATGGACTAGAACACCTCCAAGGTCCCTTCCAGCTTTATTCTCTATTCCTTCCTTCCTTCCTTCCTTCCTTCCTTCCTTCCTTCCTTCCTGTGGAACAGAAGTTGCCTCCAGAAATTGTGGGTGCTCCATCACTGGAGATTTTCAAGAAGAGGCTGGACAGTCACTTGTCTGAGATGATATATAGGTTCTCCTGCTTGAGCGGGGGGGCTGGACTGGAAGACCTCCAAGGACCCTTCCAGCTCCTATTCTATTCAATCAGGATGCGTGTATCTGCTGGATGAGATCCTTAAGTTTACGTGGGGCATGGACGGCTGGTGACCCCGTCTCTTCCTCTTGCGCATTTGCTCATCTGCAAAAGAGAACAGGAAGTCACTCCCAGAATGACAGTCCCGAGGGCAGAAAGATTGCGGTCACAAGACCACAAAGGATACTAAGCACAACAGCAAATGGGAGAGAATCTTTGAGGGTCAGGGGTGAAGTGTGAACTGTGCGGTCCTTGGTGGTCCCTGAGCTGGGCGGTTTCCTTGCAGACATTTCGTGATAGGAGTAGGTTAAATCGTCTGTGCTGGAAGGGAAGGTGGTTTGTGAGGAGGAGGAGGAGGAGGAGGAGGAGGAGGAGAAAAAGCTAAATGGATGGAAACTAATCAAGGAAAGAAGCAACCTGGAACTAAGGAGAAACTTCCTAACAGTGAAGACAGTTAACCAGTGGAACAACTTGCCACCAGAAGTTGTGAATGCTCCAAGACTGGAAATTTTTAAGAAGAAACTGGACAGCCACTTCTCTCAGATGGCACAGGGTCTTCCTTCCTTCCTTCCTTCCCTCCCTTCTCCAACACTGGAGGTTTTTAAGAAGAGACTTGATGGCCACTTGTTTTAAATGGCATAGGTTCTCCTGCTTGAGCAGGGGGCTGGACTAGAAGACCTCCGAGGCCCCTTTTAGCTGTATTCTGACTAAACCTTCTTTGAATTTCCCTGCAGTCATTTGGGAATCGGAGAGCGATTCAGATTGGGAGGAAGAGGAAGATGATCAGGTAGGTGGCTCTCCAGACGCCGCAGCTCCGGCCCCATCTTCAGAAGAGGCCACATCAGACAGAGCGCACGGCCTAATCTGGCTTCTTTGAGGACGTCCCCAAGGGGCTTTTTCAGGAGGCAACTGGACTTTCTTGTCCAGTCAGAACTGAAGAAGCTTCTGGGATGAGAAGCGAAACATCTTCAAAGAAAAACAAG